AGAGAGAGAGAGAGAGAGGAAAAGCGAGAGAAAGAGATGTGCAGAGAAGAGGACCGGTTTCCATTCGGCCCTCGCGACAACTTCCGAGAGCCGAGAGCGCCGATGGCAGAGATGATAAAAAGCCCCAAGAACAATGCCCGAATTATTTTTCGAACGAACCGCAAGAAACAGGCTTGGATCGAAATTCATCGCTCGACCGTCGTCGACCGTTGTCTTGATTTATCCTGAATTATTGGAATCCCCGTCACACTAGAGATTAATAAAGAAACAACCGGACGTGAGATTGACGTTAACATGCGATTCTCTTAAATATCTTACAATTAGTAATTATCACGTCAACGTCGCTCATGTCGCTCGAATATGAAAGACTGAGTATAGTCACGGCGAAACGAACATTCTGCCTCTAGGATATTCGTTGTAGGGAAAGCGGTGGTACGAAAACAAAAAGTACGAGCCGTACGAGCGATTGACCAAATGGCTTGCGCGTACAGCTTGAAAATAATATACAACACGGAGAAAACACTTTTGCTGACAAATCTAAAAATTTGACCAGATAATAATTTTATTAAGCCATCAAAATTATTATCGGTACGATGCTTAAACGTAATACTGCAAAAATTTTTTATCTCACAATTTACATGAAACGTTGTACATAATTTTGAAGACCCAACAAAATTATTTTTATATCTGGGCAAATTTTTAGATATATCAGCAAAAAGATTTTTCCGTATACACAGAAAAAAAATTAGTCTTAAGTCAAAACAAATATTTTCATATATAAGCAAAAATATTATAATCCTCGTAAAAAAAAATTTTAATCTTGCTTTCGTTGAATTTGTATTGATGCAAGTATTACTTTTGCTCAGATCAAAAGTTTCTATATGAAGATTATAATATTTTTATTTATATATGAGATATTCTTATTTATATATGTATATTATATCTATTGCATTAATACAAATTCAATCAAATCAAGATTAAAATTTTATCAAGAAAATTACAATATTCTCGCTTATGTATGAGAATGTTTAGCCTTGAATTAGTTAAGACTAATTTTTTTTCTGTGTATACATGCGTGCGCTTTGAAATTGTCACAATCGCGATAGAGGCGTGTAATAAAGCGTTCTAACGGGAATATACACCGTGTGCGGTTATGCGTAACTCATTGGAACGGCCTATCGACGATCGCAAGAGGAGCCTCCGGGGCAGACTCGATATGCAGCTGCTCTCGTTCGAAGGAATGCAGAAAATACAAGTGCGACATTTCACATACGGCGCTGCCCATATTCGTTCCACAACAGGTTTCGAATTATTTCTGCCCTTCCCGCTCCGCATTCCATCCCCTTCGGCGTCCATCACCCTGTCCGATACCGATATCGTCGAAAATATAATTAACTCGAATAACTTGTCTGTAGGATAATCAGAAATTCCAGTCTTAATTTCACGACGTGTTGCAAAAGAAAAGAGAAGGAAAGAAAAAGAGAGAATGAGACATCTTGATTCCCTTTTTTTCTTCAGCTTCCCTTTTATCGGTCGCTCCGAGCGCTTCTTGCGAACCGCTAATTTGCGCATTTATAAAAATTCGCAGATTGAACCTGTAATTTCTCTCAATAAAAGTATATAAATAAATTTTCTGCAATAAGAATATTTTATTCGCTACTACCGGACAGCGGTTTCGCGTATTTCTACGGAATAAACAACATTAATGTTCTTTTGTGCGTCGAACGACTTAATACGATCTTGTTTACAATGCAGATAATGCACTTAAGCGAATGACCAGAGTGGTGAAAGTGCGACTATCAATGACAACTTTACATGATAACGTTTGCGAGGAGTTGCTTTCCAGCCACCGACGTTCCCGCACTCGTGAACCCTCCGTGAACATCGCGCCTCATCGAACCTAGATTACGTCACGTGTATGTTTTGCTTACTCCGCGTAAGCGCAAAACACGCACGTGACATAATCTAGGTTCAATGAGGCACGATACTCACGCAGGTGACATAACGTTATTGCCCGGTTGCGTTGCATAAGATAACGAAGGCAAGTGGAACAATCGTTTTTAATGACGTCTCTCCGACGGCAAGGGGAAAAAAGCCTCGAGAAAACCCGCGCGGATTCGTGCATCGACGAATGCAGCCGGCGATGCGGCTGTTCGCGATTATTATTCAACGATACGTGAATTAACGAATCCCTTTCGATTGCAAAACGGAAAAGTAACGAGACTCATAACCCAACGTACGCCTGTTACATCATCGAAACCGTCCGACACGTTGACGGTCCTTCCTCTTCCTCATTCTATTGTCGCGGCCGCCGCCGACATGTTCATTACAAATCACACGCGGCGCGAATATCGTAGCGCAAATAATGGAACGCATATACATCGCGCGATTATAACAGCCGTCAGTCCGAGCAGACAAAGACCCGTCCGGATAACAAATGTTATCGATGTCGCATCTCACTTCGAGACGTGAGCATTGTCGGGAATACGAAGCCTTGGATTTGCATTACTTTCAAATCGTAACTTTTACTCATTCCTGAACCTCGTTCCAGATAGAACGCTCCTAAAAAAAAAAGCAGTATCTCATTAGAGAAAGAAGTTGTTTTCTTTTTCAAATTAATTTCTTCAAGGTGAAAATATGCACGGCCTTGCAAAGTTTCTTCAAAACGAGATGATTGAAAATTTCGCCATCTCGCAAGAATTCGAAGTTCAACTCCCACCAATATCGCACCCGGCTCTTAAATTCGGCGATTATCCTTTCAAACTTTTAGTAGCGATTAAATCCATGAAGTGTCACTCGACTATTCGTTTAAATGCATGTTCGACAAACAGCCGTCGTGTCTGTTTAACGATTTTACAATTTTACAATTTTTCAACAATTTTGCATTCAAGGTTGCAGCCGCGACATTTTCGTGTTGATCATTCCGTAATAATCTTCGATACGTCAATCTTTATTTACCGTCAAAACGTTTTGAGAAGATTGCGCTGTTCGATTGGCAATTGATAATTGAACATGGACAATTGAGAATTCGTACAAAAAAACGAATGAGAGACGTTCAACAACGTAATCGAGCAGAAAAAAGTGAATAAAAGGCTCAGCAATGTGATTCGAGTGTCACTTCGCCTGCATCTTTATTGATCGCGTCGTCTCCCTTTTTTCCTTGCAGGATGAGGAGGAGCGGCATGAACGGACGAGGAGTCGTCGACGGCGGCGAAGGAGCGCTGGTCCTGCTCCTTGTCGCATTGGCTCCTGTTATCTGCTCCGCCGGAATCCTGGACCCTTGGCAGTGGGCGCGCAGCGATCGGATCGAAGTCAACATACCTTGGCTGCCTTGTAACTATCATTACACGTTATAGATTGTTAGTTGGAAAATCTCGAGACTAATAGGTAATTACACATTAAAGGATTTGTTCATTCCTCTTTAATGGGGGCGACGTCAAAAGTACGTACGTGCGCTGAAATTTATTATCCTTCCCGCGCGTATATACGCTATTTATTATCTCTTGCGAGAGACGCCATAAAGTTTCTCTCGTCGCAGAATAGATATGATTCATGAACGTTGAACGCGGTCGAAGCGCGAGAAGCGAGCGAAATTAACGCGTCAGTGAAGAGATGATTTATTCCAGTCGAGAACGAGACGCGCTGCTACGACGAGCTCGGCTGCCTGAACATCACCAGGAGCTGGTATCACCTCATTCATCGACCTCTCAATGTTTTCCCGTTACCGCGCGAAGTCATCAACACCAGATTTATCCTCTACACGAATCAGAATCCGCTGGATGTAAGTAACGGGGCTGCCGCCGGGGGGAGGGGGGGGAGGGGGGAGCGCGTTCACGGTTCAAGATCGGCGCGAGAGCAAAATCGCACGGGCGGCCGTCTCGAAAGCGCAATTTTGCGTTTCGGCCGTATCGCGAAAGTGAAACCTGGGCGAGAATAGATTGGAATTCCACGACGGGTGGAATTTCACGGCTAGTAAATCCGATACGGTGGTAAACGCTTCCGCGTATATCCACGTAACCGTCGCGCATCGAGCAAAAATTGTATATAAAACGCCCGTCGGATTTCGGTCTCGCGATGAGAATAATCGATGATCGACGGAACGGAGAGACGACGTGTCTGCGTCTCTCATTATCGCGCGCGGGATCGCGCCCGTCGATATTTAATTGTGCCCGCGGATACCTTAATTAACTCAATTAATTAAACAAAGCTGCGCGTGCCGGTAAGCAGGCTGCCGCCTAGCGGCGGTGCACGCGCGCGCGCGCGTATTCTTACCCGCGTGAAGATAACGATCTCTGATTTATGAATTAATGGATATTCTACGAGGAAGAGAGCTGCGTTTACGTGTGCACGTGCACGCGTGTGCGTGGAAAAAATAAGCGTCGGAATAAGCGATATCAGCGGCATAACGCGCGCGCGCGCGGTGAAATCACATGCCTACCACATAACTGCGCACGCAAACGTATATCACTCGTAAAATCGATGAATCGTGAAATTGGTAGTGATACTTTTAGCATACGCTCTTTGAGATTAGCAACCATGGCATCGCGATGGATTTTTCTCCCTGATAGAAAATACGCGTCTCATTGAAATTTTTATCATCGGTACTTCCTTTTTCTTTTCAGCGGCAATGTTGAGAAAAATTTTCTATATCGCGTTTGAGATCGAAATCAACATAATTATTGGTCATAAGTTCTCAGAATGTTCTCAGGACATCACCATGATAATCATTTCGCGTATATATCCTCGGGGGGTATTCTCAAGATATTCACAGGTGCGACATTTCTTGCACATTCTCAGAATGTACTCAGAACGGCATATTTATTGTATATCTTCAAAGTATTCGGCGCATCCATACGGTATATAATTTTGTGCAATTTCTCAGGATGTATTAACATATTTACATATTTACATATTTCTGAAAGATCTCTTTGAATAATCGAGTCTCTTTGTTAAGCCACTGAATTAAAGATGCGAGTGTATAACTCAATAACCTGTCTATTTATTATTCTATCCCCCTCAGGGTCAATTATTGAAAGTGGCCAAGGATAAATCCATCGAAAACTCCAACTTCAATCCTAAGCGAAAAACCAAATTCATTATACATGGCTTCATAGACACACCACTCAGCAATTGGGTCAAGGTGAGTTTACTCTCTTATTATCTCCATATATAGTTATTCATTCACCGTCCTAGATTTCTATTGAAATCTTACATTATTATGTGTCCGCAATCGAATTTGTACTACTCATAATGCCAATTACATGTACCAAAGACGTCAATGCATCTTCATCGCCCGATCATCATCGTCTGTTACGAGCTAGATGTACATTGGTAAAGAAATATATATTTTTTGCCTCGACATTGCGTCAATTGTTTCAATGATAAATATACGCGACCGAGTGACACGGTTATACTTGACGACAGACGTAGCTCTGAAGCAACGTGTAATTATTGCCGACATTTGTCCTCGAAATATACCCGCAGGAGATGAGGAGCGAATTGTTGGAGCACGGCGATTATAACGTTATCGTGGTCGACTGGGCGGGTGGCAGTCTACCTTTGTACACCCAAGCAACGGCGAACACGAGATTGGTCGGCCTCGAATTGGCTCATCTCATCAAGCACTTACAAGTAGGAGATTTTTAATTTAGATTAAAATAAACAACGCAGGTGAATAATGCATAAACCAAAAATTAAACAGCGTGCACTTAAAAAGGAGAAGTATAGATCGCGCTTCGTATCGTCAATCGGAATAGAATAAGAATTTTTATTTCTAATTATTGTCATTTTAATAATTGTTAATATTAGCTGTACATGTTACATTCTTGCCTCGAAAATAAAAAACATAATTCTGCTAGACAAATTACGGCCTGGACCCGAATGACGTGCATTTGATCGGGCATAGTCTGGGTGCTCACACGGCTGGTTATGCGGGTGAAAAATTGGGCGGCAATATCGGACGCATCACCGGCTTGGATCCTGCGGAACCGTATTTCCAGGGAATGCCGAGCCATCTTCGTCTGGATTACACGGATGCCCGATTGGTGGATGTAATCCACACCGACGGAAAGAGCATATTTTTCTTAGGTAAACGATGTACGATAGGCATCACCGTTTCAAATAGATTTCTTTACCAACTCGTTCACATGTCGAGTGTAGAAAAAAAAACCAAGAAAAGCAGCAACAAGATTAAATACACAGGTTCTCCAGGAAACCAAAAACATTGTAAAATATATACAAAAATGCGCCGAACGAAAAAATTTAGATAATTAGATCAACTTGTAAAAATCTTATAAAAATTTGTGTCAAATCAGAACCTCATATCAGAATCAGAATTTCATAATCCAAGATCTCGTTGAGCAAAAAATTCAAAATATAAGCAAAGTTCCACTAGTTCTAATTTTATTTTCGGGAGAAAAAAAATGATTTATATCCTTATCGATATTTCGTTCCGAAACATTTAAACGTAACTTCACTCCCCCCCCTCCCCCTCCCCGGTGGATCGTATTCCCCAAATTAACGTAGTACATGGCAAGGCCTTCCAGGATACGGAATGAGCCAGCCATGCGGGCATCTGGACTTCTATCCGAACAACGGCAAGGAGCAGCCCGGTTGTACCGATCTGAGCGAGACGACGCCGTCGCTGCCGCTCACCCTGATACGGGAAGGCCTCGAGGAGGCCTCGCGCGTCCTGGTCGCCTGCAACCACGTGCGCGCGCTCAAGCTCTTCATCGAGAGCATCAACTCCAAGTGCCAGTACGTGGCGCACGAGTGCTCGAGCTACGCGAGCTTCCTGCGCGGCGAGTGCTTCTCCTGCAAGAGCAACAACAGCCTGAGCTGCGGCGTGATGGGCTATCACGCGGACACCAGCCCGGCGTTGGTGAAACGCCAGGCCATGGGACAGGACATCTCGTCCCTGCTGGGCTCGAAATTCTTCTTCATGACCGGCAAGGAGGATCCGTATTGCAGTGAGTACGGTGTACCCCCGTTGGGGACCTGGTCGCTTTTCCTTTTCTCGTTTCTTTTTCCTTTTCATTTGAACCACGTTCAGCGTGAAACGCGTGCTGTTCCTTAGGATATTTTGATATCTAGCACAGGACTATGAAGTCCTGTGCTAGATGCGATCTTCCGGCGCGAAACCGTAAAACTGTGCTAATGCTAATGACGGACAGTCGTTTCGGCGTATATAAGATTAAAGCATATCGATTAACTATTAACTTTCCCGAGTAGTAATAACTGTTTGAAAACAGTTTGCCGAGATCATCAGCTTTCCATTACAATGTTCTCTTAGATCGCTCTTAGATCGTCACTTCTGATCGGCGTTATGTCGTAAAAGTGCCGTGCGAGAAATATCGCCGCGACGTTAAAAATCTCTCCCCCTGATATGAACGTTAATTTCGGCCGAGATTTAATTTATTCAATCTACCGTATAAGACCGTCCGTTAATACCTCGATACGATCAACGCGAGGAAGACGTCTACCGATCTACCGAGAAGCGATGCGGCTTTCCTTTATCGCGAGAGACGCGACTTTCTCCGCGCGCGCGTACAGCGATAAAAGCAACAAACGGCGTGCCTCCCCCCTCCCCCATTTCTCTCTCTCTTTCTCGCGATCTCTCTCGAAAATACTCCTTTGACTACCGATCGTATCCTATGCCTTTTAGGAAGGCATTACAGAATCACCATCAACCTTGCCCGACCGCCGACCGCGGAGAGCTGGGTACAGGGCTTCATGAAAGTCACTCTCCACGCTGACAAAGGCGTGATACGCAATATGGATCTCACGCCCAGGTAAGTAATCGTGCCGGCGAGCGTTATCGCCTCGATAATCCACATTCGTCCACCGTCGTCACGGCGGAATTCGAAAATCGCCGGCCTATTTAAGTTCATGCTTCGCGCGCGAGATAGTAAAACAACGAGCTCGCCTCGCAGGAGCGCATGTTCCGAGAGCGCGAAATCGATCGGTCGGTCCGAAAAATTATTTTACCGTTTCGGACGACTCGACACGCTCGGACTCGATAGTCCCACGGCTCGTCTTCGTCTTCCTGCCACCGAGCTGTCTTTTAACGAGCTGTCTCCTTCTCATAGCGGCTATATGAAACTGGAGCACGGTTCGACCGCGCGGATGGTCGTGGCCCATCCGACCGGTTCCATCGGCAATATCGGCAAGATCAGGCGGGTCGAGCTCTCCTGGGTCTACGACATGGACGTGCTGCAGCCCAGGTCCCTCTGCTTCTTTTGGTGCAACGACCGCCTGTACGTTAATAGCGTCAAAGTGGACGCCATGGATCTTCCGGGCAGAGGGGTGAGGAATTAGCGCGTGATAAGAGAAAAACTATATATACTATATATATATATATATATACATTAATTTTTCTCTCAGTATTGTTTACTCGATAAACCTATATTTAACTTTGTTCCGTCTTTTAAGAAACGGGAGGCAGTATTTCTCCAGTAAGCTATGCTCGGCTGGCAGGCAGGAATACGCAGAGATCGCGAGCGGATCCACCGCCACGTTCATCGACAATTGTTGACGATCCGTTCCACGGCGGGAAATCGCATTTCGGGCGCGTCGGATAATTATAAAACGCCAAACAGCTGCTTCCATCCGGAGGCAATTCTCGAAAGTCGGATGATGATGATGATGATGACGATGATAGAAACGAAGCAGGAGAATCGCAGTCCCTCGTAATCTTCGTAATTTCTTTCGCCGGCGGTACACGCGGCGGGAGAAACATTTTATGTATTTGGCCTTCTTTCTCTATTTATCGCTACCAATCTGCCGCTTTCTTCAAATGCGGCCCGGCGGCACGAGCTAGCACCAATTAACGCTTCTACGAGACTTTTATTGGACTCGCGCGCAAGAAAATTTGATGCAATTCGCCGCTTTACGCGATACGCCTATAATCGAGTTCCTAGAGATTTGTCCCGTCGGCCAAGATTAGATCCTAATAATCGCGCTTAATAGCGCGATTGACACGTGACGATTGCGAAAGTGTTTCGTAGGAAATGAAATTTTTTTAGCGAGCAGACATCTAGAATTTAGATGCGAAATTAGACGAGTCAGCTTGTAACAGAAAGTCTAATTTATCGCTTTGCTTTTTTTTGATAACGATTTTTTTTCAGTATTAATATTGATCAATTGCTATGTACATGTTGTATATAACAGTAGATGTAACATGTTAAAACTAATTTCTTATGGATGTTGATTATCGCTAGAGTCTTCAGTGATTGCTAATATAAGGCTCTTACTAAGCCAATCTATGTATTATACATGTTGATACATATATTCTTTTTTGTGCACGCGATGATATGATTATCATATTGTCTTTCGCAATACGCATATGATAGTAGGTTGTGATATTCTCTTATAACTTAATAACCATTTAAAAAAAAATACGCAAAATGCGATAAACTGTACTGCTATTTGCTCATAGTCTTTATAAAGTGTACAAAACGTGTAGTGAAAGGCAATTTTTGTTAGTGATAGGAATATTTTGAGCTATTTTTATATCTGTATAAATTGTTGCATTGTAAAATAAAGTTTTATTAGTTTATAAGTATGGATACTATTGCACAAAAATAAAATGGGAATATTTTTATAAAATATATGTGAGATTTATATTTTCGTAGAAGTTTATGTAAAGTGTGTGTGTGTGTGTGTGTGTGTGTGTGTGTGTGTGTGTGTGTGTGTGTGTGTGTGTGTGTGTGTGTGTTTTCATTTTGTTCCTTGGAGATCTCGGGGGAAAATCGAAGAAACACACTTGCGACTACAGCTTGCTAATCTTTCGCAGTGTTTACTCCTCGATAAAACGCTTTACACGTTAATCCGTCGCTTATACAAAAAGATTATCGTGGAGCGCAGCTATACACGGTAACACATGATTCTTCTTTTTTTTATCTTACACGAGATTCAACAATGATTGAGTAAAAAAGCCGTCCACGTTTGTTCGACGCGGTAACAAGGGATTGGTAAAATATATAATATGATATAATATAGCGATATACATAATATAATCTAATAATCTCTAAAATCTGTCATATAACATAGAATCTGTATATAAATAATAAATAGGAAATAAGGGAGCGGGTTGATCGATTAGCTTGGTAAGACTTTAGCACTAAATTATCGTTACGAAGAACATTTATATAGGGGACTATCGGGGAAAATTGGTGACGATGGACAAACAAGAGTGTGAAGATAAATTGAGAATAGTGAAAGAGAGAGAAAGATAGAGAGAAAGAGATAACTAACAATAGACGTGACTATACAGCTGATTCATTTGGCATAATAGTCTAGAGCGGACTTTTTTCTAGCGCGATAGGATACGGTCAGTGAAGATCATCGACCCAAGCGGTGTCTAATGACTCGATGAGAGTACGGACGAAGGCCATCTCCTTCCGTGCATTTTCTAAAATTATCCGAGGATCTTGGGACGTACACCGCAATACATTCGGCGCCATCACCATCGCAAGATTATTGGCGTCCATTTTAGTACGGGCGACCACCTCGGGTCTAGCGAATATCTGTAAAGTTGTATCGTAACGTATGTTCACCAAAGACGTCCCATTCGATTTGATACAACGCGTCAAAAACATGCTGTTTTTCTGTACTCTCACTGTGCGTCTATCGTTAAACATCGCTACGTATCTCTCATATCTTTAAACATATAAAGTTCATTTAAAGATGCAATACTTTATTCGATATACGAGAATTTAGAATTACGTAGCTGCACGGCTGAACGCACGATGAAAATAACAGACGAATTTTCATTCAGCTTTTTCTTTATTGAGAATGTGTAAAATAGTCTCTTACCTGTAGGAAGCGTATTAGATGACACAGCACACGACGATTAAGATCCGGTAAACGTTCGACGAGCGCGGCCACATTTGCCGCGGAAGCTTCCGGATCATCGTGTCGCATAGACACGCATTCTACGTAGAAGGAATCCGGTATTAACGGTTCATACAATTCGCGTACCCATAACTTCAACAGGGAGGCCGGCGCATGAGCGTCCTGAGAAGCTGCCAGAATCGCTCCATCTTCGAACCTATCCAGGCAGGACTTCAACGCGCTGACCTCGTCGGCATCCGCAGATACCCGGAAGATACCCTCGGTCAGCGTACCACCACGCACGAGTACCTGACGCGTCAGTGTAGTCTGTATCCATGGTAACTCTCTAAGTGGGAAACGGTCCCTTTGTAAAGCCATAACTTCCGAGAGCGTCGCGCCGAACATAGACGCACGGAAGATTTGTATCTACAGAGAAAAACATATGCTCGTCAGATTATTAGAATTATATCATAACGCAATAAAAATCAATCTGTATTCTGTAATTAGTTACCCTCGCTTGGTCGATATCTTCCACCGTAGCCTTGCGAGGTTGTCGTTTGCCATGCGCTCCGATTCGCTGCAATCGTCTGCAGGCGACGGTCGCGTAATGGCTAACTTGCACATGTATTGGCCACTTGGCGACCTCGGGAAACTGGAAGTTAGGATCACGATGCCTGTTCATATAACCCTCTAGATAGGGTTCGAACGTAGCGCTAGGCGGCACAAAAGCTAAACACACAGCCATCAATTCCCATCCGCGTCGTAAGCTCTCCTTCCGCGGATTCTCCGTTGTCTGCCGGCAAATCTGAACGTACAACTCGTCCCGCAGAGGCGGTTTCGTAAACGCGGTATTCACAATATCCATGGCGACACCATCCAACGTCATGCCAACATTGGCTTTGCGATCTCCCATGTATACCTGAACCAACCGGAATAGATTGCAAGCCTCTCTCTTGAGTAATTTCTCGCCGTCCACCATTGCGAGCATTGGCTGCGGTATCGGATCTTTCGACCAGCTGAGGATATCCCGCACGCTGAATTTCTTTCGAAACAACAACCTCAATCCTTTCGGTCTGCCACAGTTCAGATTGAGATTGTCTTGTGCGTATTTTTCGATGTCGCCACCACCTGTGCTGTCATCTCTCCGGGCTTCATCCAGATCAGTGTTGTCGACGTTCGTTGTACCAATACTCGGAGTCGAACTTACAGTGGGTATAGAAATTTGTTTCGTGGTCACCACGCTGTCCCTCGTTTCCGTTTGGGACACAATATTTGGCGGTGAGGGCGGTCGCGCTTGTGGCCTTGTCAGGGTGTCGGCTGTAGTGTAATAAGTCGCTAAGCCTGCAGTGTCGTAGTTACCTAAATCTAAAAGGCACGCGAAAAAAAATATATGTAATTATTCACATGTTCAAAATAAAAATATCTTACGCATTTTATGCGCTTCAAAATGCTTTCTCACCAGCATAATGATCCTCGAGATATTCTTGACTGGAAGAATCGCCTTGATTGCTAGCCGCTTCGTCGTCGGCGAACTGGTCATCCGAATCATCATCACCTCTCCCGCCGATACCTTCACCTCTGCCACCTTCCTCATCTAAAGAATCTTCTCCTTCTTCTACTAATAAAGGATCTCCGAACTTGTAACAACCTAAGTATCATGAAAAAAATGAAGGATAATGAGACACAATATACAAAGTTACGATATTGAAAAGTTTTTTTAGTCTATTACCTGATAATTTCGCTTGTTGAAGAATATAATGTTGCAGCGGTAACAAATGATCATCAGCCAAAAGATTGCCGTAAAATGGCGACGGTGGAGGACTAGGATTTCCATTACTCCTCTTCTTTTTGCTATCATCTCCTTCGGCGTGACCCTCGGTTTCCTCACCTGCAGCACTATTGCTGCTACTGTTACTGCTATTACTACTGCTAGTGTTACTACTGAGTCTTTGTCTAGACTGTTCGTGACTCTGGCTTATCATCAAGTAACGCTCGTGCATGGCATCGTCATCCCGCTCTCTCCGTCTAGCCTGCTGCTGTTGTTGCTGCTGCTGATGTAACTGCTGCTGCATTTTCTGCTGCTGTTTCTGCTGTTGCACAAAACTATAACTGCGACCCAACGGCTGCGGCACACCTTGTAAAATAATAATCACTCATGTATTACAAAAGAGACATGCACACACACACGCGCGCGTGCATAGAAGATACAGGATACAGGAAGATGTCGAAAGAAGCATAAAGATTATCTCGCTTACAATCCAGTGAGTTATTGCATGCTGCGTTTCGCCTGTACTCCTTCTCCCGATCGCGCTCCCGCTCTCTCTCCCGCTCCACTACTTCGAGACCTCCTCTCTGCTTTGACGAATTACCGCCGTGTATGCCAGCAGCTCTACCAAGACTTTTGGTGGGATCATTTCTTTCGGACAACATTGCACCGTACACGTCCCTGACATTCGCTTCCGAAAGTGACGCAGAGCATCCGTGATGTCTCCTGCCAATACTACCCGTACCATCCTGCGGTTGCTTATTCATATTTCTTGAATGCATAGAACTTGGATAAAAAGCTGGCGGGTTCGTCTTGTCGAGACTATTAACTCGTTCCCGATGATGCTGTTGTTGCATCTCCCGCTCTCTATCCCTATGGTAACGATTGCCACTCTCCATTAAGGAACCATACTTCTCACCCTGCGATTTATAGCTATGGCTAAGTTGAACTTCAGGCGGGCGATACGGTGGCATTTCCTGCCTGAAGACTCGGGATTCCATCAAAGATTCGCGATATGGTGACGTACTCGGCTCGGGACCATATGAGCCCCTACTACTTTCTCTACCTAAATATTAGGAAATCGACCGATATAACCGAAAAGATATGTGACTTACATATGATAAATAATTATGATAAAAAAATAATTACAGCAAATATCATATATCCTTACCATTTTTACTTTTGTCCAGGTCCAAATTTCCAACCCTACCTTCACGTTGTGGATCAGTGAAAGTCTTCTTCTTAAACAAGGGTGTGCTAGTCGAAAGGGAAAGACCTAACGGTGGCGGCTCTCCCAGCGATACAGATTTCTGATTCTTCACGCTTTCGAGAGTTCCGCTTTTGTGACACCTGGCTTCCAAGGTGCCACTACTGTGCTGCCTGGGGGAGGATTGTGCGGTGTTCACCGGCGTTTGCGCGGCCGAACGATGATGATGCCTGTGCGGCGAATCCAATAAACGATAACCGGTTGACTCCAAGGAAGTCCTACTATGTGAGACAGAACTGTCGCTGGATCTACCAGAATCCTGTGAGTGATTGTGTTGTCTGGTGCGCGTCGTAGGCACGTCATGGTGCCTATGATGCCTATTATTGTGATGATGATGATGATGATGATGTCGCCTCGCGGACGGAGACGGTGAAGGAGGAGAAGTTTGAAGGTCGACGCCGACCGTAGAAGTCCGCGTTTTGTTCGCGCTACCGAGAGAAAGAGCTTGCTACGAGAAAAAATGCAGCCATGCGAAATTTCGAAACATCAATGTTGCGTTTAAATCATTGTAAAAAAATTAATTTACCAATGTCGGAGCCAAATTCGCGTTCTCCTGATGATTAAATCGCGTCGATCGACTCACTGAAGGAGTTTGCGTCTGTGTCGAAACAGATTCCTTCTTCCTCGGCTCGGTTATCTTTTGAGTATCAGATGCGCTACCACTCGCAGGTTCCGTGTTTTGTTTTAACGTCTACAATAAAACATATATAATTAAATTAATAAATAAAACAATACAAATTAATAACAACTAATAGACGACATTAATCTTCTAATATTAAATATAAATAATAAAAATATATATATATATATATATATATATATAAAACTCAAAATCATAACTTATATTATTTATATAAATGGTGAGCTATAAATATATTTTCGGATAATATATTAATCATCTTGTAATCTTTTATATTTAAACATACAGGTAGGTGCGACGGATTATATTCTGGGACATCTCTTTCCTCTGCCACTCGTATTCTTGTCAAACCTTAGATGAACGAATAGCATTATCACGAGAGAAGTTTCACGATAATAACGTGGCATAATGTAAACCAGAGTTTTTTCTCCCTGCCGCAAACGTCTATTTATAGCTGAGAAAAGAGCAGACGCGCGCTTGCACACTTATATCTCCATCACTTTAAGATACGCGAGTTCCGTAACGTGTGTTACCCCGGAGAAACTCACAAATCATTATACACATCCGTAAAATACGTATACACGTACGCGCGCGCATGCGAGAACGTATGCGGAACTCACAGATTTTGTGTGATTCATAAGTAAGTACAGATCCCCGGTAGATACACCAATGAGGGCGCGATCTAATCTGGATTTTATCTGCACTCGAACGCCGGACAGCACGGCTCGATCGACGTGACTCACGCGCTGTGCTCCAATATTGTACAAGAAAACGTTAAATCATATCGAACGATATCAAATATTTTTTTTTTTCTTTACCTGGAGTTTCGCCAACGGTATGATGTCACAGTCCGTCGGGCGGTGCCATACAGTTTTCTGGGATGTCGCGTTGTAATAATAAAATCGCGAGGTATTCTGATCGAATAGTTCCCACCACTGATTGTTGTCCGTCTTTTTCCTACAAATTATTAAACGGGACATGTACCACATATCGCAATGCGCTTGGTGACTTAGTACTTTCTCTTAAATAACTTTCTCTAAAATAATTATAATGAGCTACTTTGAGATAATTGACCGAAA